TTTGAAACTCAAGCGTCGCCCGCCACAGTGTCAGTAGGAAGTTGGTTCCAATAAGTGACAGTGGATGTGACGGGGTTATTACTGATGGGTCACAGAGAGGAATAACAACTGATGGGGGCTGATAAGAGGCGTTTCCCCTTTCACACTGTCATATCATAAAGTTTTTGTGGTAATGGTGAATGGTGACAAGGGATTGTATCAATTGATAGGAATAAGTAAGAGGTAAGAGCTTATTTTCACCTAGTTTTTTACCACTATACTTCTAGGTTCGACGTATTTCAGGCTAAGTATAGAGAACCTACTGTTTTACTGCACGTCCAACGGAAGGGGGAAAGGGTTGTTCACGTGAGGTCTACAGCACAATTAAGAAACGTATCAACGACAATTATACGAGAAAGAAACAAAATTTAGCATATTATACATTAGCATATACTTATACATTTAGCATATACATATTCCGTTATTCTGTCTTGAGTGAGCCTTGCAGTGAGAGGTCACCAGTCAGCGTATACAATTAAGCTTGGGTATCCCACTGGGAAGTACGCCGAAGTGCGAAATAGTAATTATAAGGTCATCTGAAACTATATGTGTACACGCAAGGCAGAGTATGGAGTCGGAGCCAGGGTGCCACTGCCCATCGGCCTGGTTCCCTTGTACTTTTGAAGAGGAGAAATGGCGTGTACTGCAGTAGCCCGTTCGCCTTATACATGACAAGGATCAAGATCCACGGAAAGTGTGTACAGTTTGTCTCCGAGAAATTGGAGAGCTGAATTATTCGTCCTGTTTTAGCTACTGCTCTTACCTCTGTTGGCCAGACCGAGACTGCTGTCCGTATTCGCCAGCAAATTGAGGATCTTAATGCCAGGTATGGTAAAATTTGTCCAATGCTCTTTTCTTCAGCCTCTGAATTAGCATTTTAAGATGGCGCGCCCTTGAAGAACAGACCGAGCAACGTGAGCAGCAGCTCGGTTCTGCACATGAAGTACAGCGCTTCCACCGCGACGTCGACGAGACCAGAGATTGGATTCAGGAGAAGGACGATGCTCTTGATTCGGATGACTTCGGACGTGATCTCCGATCAGTTCAAGCTCTTCAGCGTAAACACGAGGGTGTCGAAAGAGATCTTGCTGCTCTTGGTGATAAGATCAAGAGCCTGGATGAGAAGGTATGGGTGCTATTGATTATATGTCCTTGAGATAGTTACTTTCAATTTTCAGGCCAATCGTCTTCGTCAGAGTCACCCAGAGGCTGCAGAACAGATCTACGACCTGCAGCGCGAGCTCAATGAGCAGTGGAACAGGTTCGTCTAAGATGTTCGCTGTGCTGCCCTTTGTATTCCTAACATTTCCCCACTTTCAGACTCACGGCCAAAGCCAACAACCGCAAAGAGAAACTGCTTGATTCTTATGACTATCAGAGATTCTTATCCGATTATCGCGATCTTATGCAGTGGATATCTGCCATGAATCAACTTGTGAGCAGCCGAGAACTTGCAAATGACGTAACAGGTAAATTACTTCATCAGCCCACTATAAGTGTAATTATCAATCCCTCTTCGTTTATAGGTGCGGAAGCGCTTCTGGAAAGGCATCAAGAATATCGTACAGAGATCGATTCGCGTGCTGCAACATTCCATGCCTTTGAACAATTTGGCAATCAACTTCTCAACAACAATCATTACGCTAGCGAGGATATTGCCAAGCGTTTGAATGATGTATGATTTTTATTTCAATTTAGGCCCTGTGCGGGTTAGGGGGCACTTTGGCCCGTGCAAATTTATCTGACCAGGAAAGGTCAACAGGTCAGCCTGGCCATTTGCAATGAAATGCATATCGTTGTATCCGCCTTGAGACGGTGAACTCAAAACTATCTTCAAAATTTGCGGAACGATTCTCTGAGCGGAGTTAGAGAGGTTTTTCTTCACTGTTTTTCTTCTTCCGGGCGCGCTATCGCCGAAGCGTTGGCACCTGTAGCGCGACTCACAGCGCTCCTCGCGCAAAGTAGGTATCATATTCGTATTCAGGGGGTCAAATAACCCCTAGAGACGAGACCTCAGCGAAATCTGAGGTTGTGGCTCAACTTCAAAAAAATGGGGTATGGACAGTCATGGCTGACTGATAGCTAACAGCGATACTATGACTAGCATACTAAAGATGACTGGTCTTCGAACTGAAATAACTCTTCAGTCATGTTTTTTTGTAAACAACAGTACCTGGCTTACTTATTTGTGCCGTCTGCATCATTTTCCTGGCTATCGGGAGGAAATCCCATTCCGAGACCAGTCATCGATAGTAGGTGCTCCAATCTGCTGCCAATAACCATGGAATAGCCCACATTTTCCAAGTGAGGTCGAAAAATCAGATTCGGTTAGAGACTTGTTCCTAGGGGTAATTTAACCCGCTGAACATGAATATGATGGTATTTCATTGCAAAAACCCTCGTGACACGTGTTACGAGGGGTACAAGCAGAAGCATTCCTTCAGGCCACAATGAGCCTACACTTAAAAAAACTGGTCGCAGGTCCCTTATAAGGTAGTGCAGGCGAGCAGAGATGTTAGAAGCTTTGTAGGCTATGTTCTTGGACAAATGCAAAAAAAAGCGACCTGCCCACGGAATTGACCCTACGACGTCTCGCCTAAGAAACCCGCTCTCTACCTTATGCGCTCCACTACCACGTTTCAGCATGACTCCATACATAAATGTAAAGACGCTTCCACGTTTCCTCGCGATAGCATGTGAAACGACCACGCGGGGATAAGACCCTCCATAACTCCTTCCAGAGAATCGTTCCGCAAATTCTGAAGGTAGATTTGAGTTCACTGTCCCAAGACGCGTACAGCGGTGTGCAGCTCATTGTAAATGGCCAGGCTGACCTGTTGACCTTTCCTGGTGAGCACCATTCAATTCCCGCACCAATCCGAACAGCGCCCAGATTTCTTCTCAACTTATGATATAACAGCTGAAGTTGATTTCTGATTTTTCAGGTGAATGCAGCTCGTCAAGGACTTGAAGATGCTTGGGTGGCTCGCCGTAACATCCTTGACCAGTGTCTTGAGCTGCAGCTCTTCTACAGAGATTGTGAACAGGTCCAAATAAATTCAAATTACTGAGATTAATTTTCATTAGGTATTGCTCTCAGAACTGATATTGTTTTAGGCTGACACCTGGATGTCTGCCAGGGAAAACTTCTTGGCCCAGGAAGATCCAACTGGCGACAATGTGGAGTCTCTGATCAAGAAACATGAAGATTTCGATAAGGCCATCAACAGTCAACAGGAGAAGATCACTGGTTTGCAGGTAGATGGTGCTCAGCTTTGAAATATACTATTCTACTTGAATCCAACTTTTCCAGCAATTCGCTAATCAGCTGATCAACAGCAATCATTATGACAAGGATGCGGTGGCTCGCAAACGCGACATGATTCTCGATAGGTGACTACCTTGTTATTTCTCTCCTTATTCGGTTCAATATCGATTTGTATTGATTGATTCTAGATGGGAGCGTCTAAAGGCTGCTCTCATTGAAAAGCGAAGCAAACTTGGAGAAAGTCAGACGTTGCAGCAATTCAGTCGTGATGCGGATGAGATTGAGAACTGGATTGCGGAGAAATTCCAAGTGAGCGTTTCTACTAATACTTTGTCCGACCCTTGAAACAGCTGTTTGGGAAAGATTTTAATTCGATTTTGCGTGAATCTTAATCGCTCGTGAATAATTCCTTACTTTATCCCACTGCTTGAGGTTGCTCAAGAAGAGAACTACCGCGACCCAACCAACATCCAGCAAAAGCATCAGAAGCAACAGGCATTCGAAGCCGAGCTGGCTGCCAATGCTGACCGTATCGCCACTCTCATCACGGCTGGTCAGAATCTCATAGATGGAGCGAAATGTGCTGGAGGGGAAGATGCTGTCAGCGCGCGTCTGAAGGCATTGAATGACCAGTGGGAACTGCTCGTGAAGACTACCACAGAGAAAAGTTACAGGTAAGAATTGGTGCTGTCGCGATTTTTAGACCAATACATGAGGGTTCACTCGTTTTAGACTCAAGGAGGCCAACAAGCAGAAGAGCTTCATGGCTGCTGTTAAAGATCTGGAGTTTTGGCTTGGTGAAGTTGAAATCCTCTTGCAGTCTGATGACTACGGAAAGGCCAGTGTTCATTTCTTTCTCATTTAAAAACCTTGGGATATTTCGGGTATTTCAGGATTTGGCTTCAATCGAGAATCTTCTGAAGAAGCACCAACTGCTTGAAGCCGACATCATTGCCCACCAGGATCGCGTACAGGAGATGAATCAGCAAGCGGATTCCCTTCTTGAACGAGATCAGTTTGCTGGTCAGCAGATTGCAGAGCGTCGCAAGGTACAGGGATGCAAATGTTAACAAGTTGGAATTTCAAGAGAATTTCCCCGTCATTTGTAGGTGATTGCTGATCGCTATGAGCGTGTGAAAGAGATGGCAAATGATCGCCGTGACAAGCTTAACGAGGCCCTCAATGTTCACCAATTCTTCCGTGACATCGATGATGAGGAGTCATGGATCAAGTGAGATTGATTATTCACCCGGATTAAATAACCACTCTATGATAAAGTCGATTCTGCAAATGAACTCTAAAATTTAGGGAGAAGAAGCTTCTTGTCTCATCGGATGACTATGGACGTGATCTTCCCGGTGTGCAGAACCTCCGCCGTAAACATCGTCGCCTTGACACCGAGCTGGCAAGCCATGAACCTCTGGTACGCATTCTTAACCGCTGCGCTAAAAGTTAGGTTCGAAGCCTCAGCTATTGCGGTTCAGGTTTCCCAAGTTCGCCTGAAGGGAGAAGAGCTCTTGCGCTCGTCAGGAATCAGTGGAGATGAAATACAGAAGCGAATGGCAGATTTAGAACGTAGTTGGGGACAGATTCGTGACCTTACTGGTAGGCGGTGAGTAGTTGTATCGATTATGTTCTCTGTAGGGTTTTTTGGTTGGCTGGATCTGCCCGTGGACGCCGATTTATTACAGTCAAAGCACCGAAATAAGAAGGGTAGCGGGAGGCGGCTAGCCGGCAGCTGACGAAGAGTAGTCGATTGGACTGAACTGCTTGATCCAGCTAACCCCCTAAATTATATAGCACGAGGGCGGAGCTTAGTGATTCCCGCGCAATCGTCTTCAAATTTTGAGGATACAGGCTATGAAGATGACGAAACAAGGCCGACATCTGATCGATCGGAACAACAGTGATGAGTCATCAAAAGTAAAACAACAAGAATAGTATATTATAACAGTAACAGCATAATGTATCTACATGCAGCTCCTCTGGGAGCCAGACTCCGACGGCTTCATTCATTTCAGCTTCTTGGGTCCTTTCTGCTCCATGTAAGGTGCTTGGAGGTTCCTTCCTTCCTTCGCGTCTCGAACATACATCACGTGCGGCTTTACGATCTTGGCTTTCTTCTTCTGCGGCTCGTCCTTGGTCGTCGTGTCGTGGCTGGTCGTTGCAGGGTCGGCGGCGCCGTCTCGTTTGTTCTTCTTAGCGGCGAAAAAGATCGACCGACAGCGTGCTCATGGCTAATTTCCGCACCTGGTTGAGGAACACGGTTATCTGCCATGGGTGGAAGCTGTCGTCACCTTGTCTTGGGCTCACCCCAGGCTCGTGGCGTGTGTTCGAGGGATACCATTCGGTATAGTTCCATACGCATCAACCACCCTTGCGTCGAAACTGCGGGCGGGTCCAGTAAGCACCTCCACAACCTCGGCACAAAGCCGCTCGACTGAGTGCCACATCTCGCATCGTCGCTCCTCATATGGTGTAGGGTACATGTCCAGCGTTCCTCCGCACTGCAGATGACGCTCCAGTGCATGCATCAGGTGATTGAGATGAACGGTTGCTGGCATTTCGTACGGCCAGACTAACACGATAGCTGCGGAGATCGAGCGTGCATTCAGCTGCATGCGAGTCCATCAGATGTGGAATACACCTTAATGCTCACTTTGTCGTCTTCCTCGAGATCCTTCTCCGCTCGAATAAACGACAGCAGTAGAGCAACAATCGTCGGATTAGCAGGTGAATCTTCGTTATCCTTCGGAATCTAATCCAAGCGTTCGATTGCCTGTGCGTAGTAAGAGTCTGTATGATATCCTGGGAACGCCGGGAACAACGCCGGATTGACTATGCGCTTCCCTTGGGCGTTCCTCAACGCTGTACTATAGCAGCTAGATCAATGAGCGACAATCGCATGGGCGAGTCCCAAGATAGTGAGATTTTGATTTCTTGGCAACTAGTTCTTCTTCTTTGCGTCTTTTTGTTTCCTTGGCAACTAGTTCTTCTTCCTTGCGTCTACCGCCCTAGAACGGATCGAGCACAATTGATGCGACGTTTGCGAGCTCAAACTGTTATTGACTGGCTTCGATCTTGCTAGATCTGAACGCAAACTCGGTAGAGCTGTCTGTGCCTTGGTGCGGAAGATGTTGCATAAGCGTAGATGGAAGAGGTGCAGCGGAAGTTCCTGCGGCGGCCGACGACGACTCTGAAACAGATCTTCTTAGAGTGGATGCTTTTACATTTCTTAGGTCTGTCCCTTTTTCTTCTTCGCTTAGCAGTTTGAACTGGCTCATCATCAACACCTGTTGGCAACCTTTTCAAGAGATCAAACTGCACTTTTACAGGCTCAGCATTACTGGCAGTAGGAGTAACTAAGGCACTGTTTTCACTGAGTTCTATTATTCTAGAGGGGCCATTCCACTCATTTGCGAGTTTTAGATGGGTAGAGGTAAGCTTTTCCATGGGAATTCGCATATACACTCTCTCCCCTACGGCAAAGGTCGTTCTACGACCTTCTTAGTCTCGTCGTAAGCGTTCATGCGTTTACGCGCTCTCTGATTTTCGACGCGCGCACACTCCCTAATCACTTACAAGCCCGTAACTAACTCATTAACATAGGAATCGATGTCTACCGTATATTCACTTACAGCTTGTTCCGGCACCGAATTCCACGGTATTTTACAGTCAAACCCATGCATCAAAAAGAACGGGGACAGTCGAATCATGGGCGCTAGTATTGTATGCGACCGTACAATGCAGTAGAAGCTTATCCCACTCCATCGGAAGATCCACTTTCTTCCTCAGTAGTCCAGTTATGCTTCCATTGAACCTTTCGGTTAGCCCGTTCTCGCGCGGATTGTATCCTTTAGTAAATATTTGTCGGATTCCCATCAACTGTGTGAGTTCTGTCATCAACTTAATATCAAACTCGCCACCTTGATCTGATAGTATCCATTCTGGAATGCGGCACCCATCCGCCATCCAACGCTCACAGAGCGTGCGAGCTACGACTTGAGCCGATTCTGGGTAATGGATATGCTCCTCGGAACTTCGTGAAATGGTCTATATGTACCGGTTGCCATGTGTTGTTAATCCCATTTCGAGTATGTCGATTCCTACCACTTCAAACGGTTTCGTTGTTATAATTGGTTTGAGTGGAGGGGTGACTTGCGGTTTTGTGTTGAATAAGACGCACTTTTTGCACTCCTCCGACCAGAGAAGCACGTCTCGCCGCATAGATTCCCATAACACGCGCTTTTCCAAGGACTTCAGCACTTTCCGTGGCCCAAAATGCCCTGCTAGTAGCGAAGCATGTGCGTCTAAGAACGCTCTTCTGATGATTCTTCGGGACTACCTTCCGAAAACTATACAGGGGGGGGGCAAAAAAAAAGAATTTTTTCTTCCTCGAATTTCGAGGCGCTATAAGTTACACTTTATTAAATTTTTATCGGACATTCCTACCACCATATTAAAGAGCATATATAATATCGTGATACTCCGCTACAGCTTTCTGGAGGAGCGCCATCGAGAGATTCTGCCACGCGACCGTCAGTGGGTGCGTGAGTTCAGCGAAATAGTTGATTTCTCCGCCACTGTAGACCACCCTATTGAGCTCCACCCGAAGCATGTAATTGAAAGAGTTTAGGTCAGGTTACCTGCTTAGATATTCCACCTTCTTCAGCTACTCAACGCCCTTGTATTACAAGTAGGCAAGAGTTTCTCTGGCGCCCTTCGATTTCATGTGGTGGCACTCAATGCTGTAGCAGTACAAAGTTCCAAGAAGGTACGGGCGACCACATGTGAGGAGGATATTCTTCACGAGTTGCTCAATGTAACCGCCAGCGCTCACCTTTAGTGCGGGGCCCGCGAAGAAAATATGGGTCTCTCCATTCCAGGTACGTCCGGTCCCCACCATCAACTGGCGCCTTGGCGACTGAGGTGAAGATGATCTCTTAGACCGTAGCGACGTTGACGGAGCTGCTCGATGATGGAGGTCATCTAGATCGAGAGTACTGCTCTCCAGGTAGCTATTTATGGGTGACTCTATACTAAGATTTTCGCAGCTGTTCGGAGGTGACATGAATTCCGAAGGTCTTCTCCAGTCAGGTTGCGGCTGGGGATGACTTCATATTTTGGTGTACATGAAGGTGATGGGCGAGCGCCAGCTCCTGCCTACAGGTGAACATCTTGGGTATCTTCCGGTCTGGTACTCGTATCCACATCCTCTGTCTGGGCTGAGAAAACTTTCCTGATATGTGACTCGGTCGAAATGTATTTCCCCCCCTGTAGTTATGGATGAAAGTGAGGTATCCATTGTGCATAGCGAAGTCTGCTACTTTATATTTGCGGTTTTGATTAGGGAAAATTACGTCTTCCTTTAATTGGTTTTGCTCCAATTTTTCTACAACGCCACCATAGATGCTGTCTTTCCGTAACTCCATAGTCCAGCTTGGCTCTTCTGTCATGGTAGCTACGATATTCGCATTGGACAGGGCTTCTGTGGATGCCAGAAGCGAGTTATCATCCACAGGACCACAGCTGAGTGCGTCAGCTACTTTGTTAGCCACCCCTTTGAGGTATACGATTATGTTGTACCTCTGAATTTCTAACGCCAAGCGGAGAATCCGACTCCAGACGTTAGTTCTTGTAAAGAGCGCCGTTAGTGGCTGATGGTCTGTGAAGGCTTCTATTTTCAGCCCGTAGACAAACATATGGAACTTCCTTAATGCGAATACCACGGATAGAGCTTCGAGATCTGTTATGTGCTGATTCACTTCGCTCTTCGAAAGGCTTTTCGATGCGAAAAATACTGGATAAAGGAACCCATCTTCTCCTTCTTGACTGAGCACCGCGCCCAGCCCAGAATAGCTGGCATCCATATGAATTTTAAACGGCTTCCTGCCATCTCTTGCTCCTTCAATGTCTGGTTGTGCGAGAATAGGAGCTTTGGTGATGATTTTCTTTAATTCGCTAGAAGCATCCCGTCTTGCTTGTGTCCAGATACAGGGTTGCTTTTCGGACGTCATTTCGTGAAGAGGTCCAGCAATTTTGGAAAAAACCCAGGACAAATTTCCGATAATAGGAACACATTCCAAGAAAGGTACGCATCTCATCTTGTCTGCGGCTCAGGATACTGCACGACTGCCGCAACTTTCTGGGGTCCATATGGAGCCCATCTCGGTCGATAACATGTCCGAGGAATTGTATCGTGCCTTCCACTAGAAAGCATTTCCTAGGATTTAGTTTGAGATGTGCATTGCGCAAAGCGACGAAGACCTTTTCGGTGCTTGTCACACTCATTATGTCGTCAAGGTAGCAGAAGACTTCGTCAGTTAGGATATCCCCCAAGACTAAATGCATTAGTCGTTGGAAAACTGCAGGTGAGGTGGCCAGACCAAAAGGGAGCACTTTAAATTGGAAGAGCCCTTCCGTTGTGATAAAAGCGCTTTTTTCTTTAGCCTCCTCAGCTCTATTTGCCAGTACCCAGAGGCAAGATCTAGTGTAGAAAAATAGCTTTTACCTTTGAGGTTTTGCAAGATTTTATCTATAGTCGGTAATGCATAATTATGTATTCCTGTGGCTTGGTTGAGCTCTATAATCAACGCACAGTCTCGACGATCCGTCTTTCTTTCGGACGAGGACTATTGGGGAGGCCCAACTGGATTCGCTGGCTTCATTTACATTCCTCTCTTGTAGGTCTGACAATATCTTGCGTAGTTCCCAGCGGTTCTGGTCGTGCTTTCTGACGAATAGGCGGTGACGGGCCTGTTTCGATGTCATGCTCCACAAGAGATGTTTGTGTCAGTTCTTGATCCGATACTGCATAACGATTATATTTAGTTACCAGTTCTCTTAGAGATTGTTGGTTTTTCACGCTATCTTTCCCATGGCAAAGTAGTTCCAAAAGATGTTGTTCGCGTTCGTGAATTTATCGTGAGTACGCTCCAATATGTTTGTAACTCCGCAGTGGGTTGCTCTACGACTGTATTCGCGTCCCGATTTCCTACTTTTTCTCCCACACGGAATAGTCTAGCTTCGTTCAAAGTGTTAGTAACAGGTATTTCGACAACAGATTTCTCATTATTATTAAGGACAGTATCCGGAATAACTTCGCAGTCGGACCACAAGATCTGATCCTTGTTATCTCTGCAATAGAAATTGCCATTGCCACCCCTTTTGTTTCTCCGGGAGGAATGTACACCCGCCGAACCACCACAGCTGAGCGTGCGCTGCGGTTATCGGACTTTGCTTCCTTCTGTTCTTTTGAGCTTTCACGTGAAAGTTGGTCTTTCCGTGGTCGCAGCTTACCCAATGTCGATTTGGCGGATTTTTTCTTCTTTTACCGTCAGGTTGAACTTTTCCAGCGCATTGGTTCCGAAAACAATCATGTCGTCGTCTCCTTTCCTGACAAAGATCGCCACTTCTTGGGGTTGGCCGTTTTTCAGTTCTACTGTGAGACGTATTGCCTCTTTGAACTCCATCTGGTTTCCGGAGGCGTCATAAATTGTCTTCTCCTTTGGCACAGAGATTTCTTCGATATCACCATCAATGTCGAATCCTGCTTTTTGCGCCTCAAGTAGTATTCTGAGCGGCATGATACTGACTTGGGATCCTGTATGTAACGCAAGCTTTGCCTAGAAGACTGACTTCCGCGACAGTTTGCTTACCAAAGAGTTCACTGTAGCGCCGATGGTCTGGCTTGAATCTCTTTGCAACTCCAACGGCTCAAGGTGGTGGTGAATGTTTGAGTTCTTGTGGTGTCTTCCAGTTGGCAACTAAGGGAAGGCCGTATCTTGCTCTGCTCTTGACTGTTTACCGGTAGCTTTTGCTCAGTTTGAGGCTGTTTATTTCGCATATCCCGAGCTTTCCAGCAGTCACTTCTGAAGTGTCCGCGTTTATCACAAAACGAACAAGTGAGTGTTTGTCTATTTTCTCTGAAGGATTTCTGCCGGCCAGTGTTGCCACCGTTTGGGGAAGGAAGAGACTTAACGTGTTTGCTGTCATCAGTTTGCTCACAAGGGAGGTCGTTCAGGGCGTGCCCCGCTTTTTCGAAACGGTTTATTGCACTTTGTAGGGCCTTGCCCATGAACCATAAAAGTGGGCTTCGTTTTTGCTGTGCGGCTCCAGGAACGCCAAAAAAGGAGCAAAAGGTACGCCTGTGTACCCCCACATGAGGGACGTTAAGCGCTATACTGGCGCCAAATTGCGTCGACGTCGAAAATAAGTGTCAAAATCGTAATCAGGACCATCGACTACCCTTATGGACGAACTTTTAGCCAAAAAAGTTTTTTCGATTTTTTGGGTTTTGGTGGACCATTTGGTCGGCAGTGGTGACCGAAGTATCCCATCTTCGTAAAGACGATGATGGAACAACGACGTAGCAGGCCGCCGGGCAGGACAGCAAACCTGGTGGAATGCCTCCCTCTTCTTCCTCTTTGCATGTATTTCATCGGCATTGTTACTTTTATCTCTGGATATTAACAAAAAAGAGGGTCCCTATGGCGAGGCACTATAGACTTCTAGAGAAAGACTGTCGGACACAACCCAACGCACACACCCCAAAAAAGTCGAAAAAATTTTTTTGGCTGAAAGATTGTTTACAGGGATAATCGATGGCCCCGATCATGAATTTCACACTTATTTTCGGCGCCGACGTAACTTGGCGCCTGGATAGCGTTACACATCCCTTATTTTTGTGTAGCAAACGAATTCATTGGGTGGAGCATATCACTCCATATTAGCGATGAATGGCACCGTGGCTATAAATAAGTTCCATATATGTGATTCGGGCATAATCTGACCTATAAAGGTCAACTTTCAAGTACGGTCTTGCTTAATGGTATGTAAAACCTGTAATAATTGAATAGCACTGATTCATGGAGTGTCCCCATTTAAAATGTGCCCATAAATGGCAGTTATCGAACAAGCACAGACATATTTAAACGCGAACACAGCAAAATATAAAAAATGCAAAAACTGGCACGCCGAGGGGAGTCGAACCATCAACCCCACCCCAACTGTCCGCTTGGGATTCCTTCACGCTATCCACTAGGCCATCCGATCGTTGTTGCTGAACATTCCTCCGATCGTTGAAGAAACCATTCCATGAAGCCGTTCTCTCTTGATCACGTGCCACAAGTAAGACCCCATACCCCGACTGCTTTTCTCTTCGATTCCGATAGTACCTTTATAGGGTCCCTCCATTCAGCAACTGGTCAAAGTTTCAAGCGGTTTACAGCTCGTAGAGGCTCAAAAACACTCAGTTTCCATAGGTTTCTTTTTCGCTCCTTTTTTGGCGTTCCTGGAGCCGCACAGCAAAAACGAAGCCCACTTTTATGGTTCATGGGCAAGGCCCTACAGAGTGCAATAAACCGTTTCGAAAAAGCGGGGCACGCCCTGAACGACCTTCCTGGTTAGTGTCTGGATGGTTGCTAGAATACGACCTACTAGAAAATCGTACTGCGTCAGCCACCTGCCGGCTTCGCTCTATGCATTGTGCCAGACTTTTGAGCTTTTGATAGGCCTCTTCCTGAGTTGACTGATCCAAAGGTGCTGAACAGTTGCACGTATTCCTTCCATGTGAGCTGTGTTATGAAAACTCCTGCCCGAATCACTGCGAGTTAGTTCCTCCAACTCTACACAGTAGTCTGTGACCGTGGAACGTTTCCTGAGTTGCTTCAGCCTTATGTATTGGGCGGAACCATTTTCTTTTAATTTAGCACGTAAGGCTTCGACAAAGTTGGCGTACGTACCCTCTCGATCACTTCGGGGCAGGGTCTCCACTACAGATTTTGGGTACCTTTGGGCACATAAGGTGAATCAGCATGCTATCCTGTAACCCTAATCCACCATATTTCATATGAAGTGAGGTTACAAAAGTCTCGAACCCTTTTCCGTGTGGATGGGAGAAAATGGGTACGTCCGGTAATGCCATCGCCGCAAAAGTTGTTCCTACACTCAACTCTGGTAAAAACTGATATGGAGTGGGAAGTATACCTCGGCTGTTCTGCCTCGGCGTTGCGGTCGTTGGCCTCTCTCTGTATGGCAACTGCAAAAGGGCGTCATTAGGATCTTTGAAGTTAAAGTGGTGAGATGCCGGATGGTAACTTTCATGTTTCCTTATGTCTGAGGGGCAGGACTGACCTTGCTCAGCGTCAGCTTGGTCGAAACGCGTGAGCTTTGCACGGTGAGGAAGATTCCTTCTTGCACCTGCCTCATGGCCGTTCTGACAGCCACATTGCTCGTACTAGGAGTGTCCACATCCATTGGCTGTTCTCTCTGAAACAGTGGTCTGTCATAATGATCAGACACATAACTCCTGTGAAACTGAGCATTCTTAGTATAGTTTGTCATATTTTCACTACACTCATCGGCGCCTTAACGCTTGCCGAGACCGTTCTTCACTGCACTGATGACTTCTATTGAAGTCACCTGGAGCAAACGCGCCAATTCTCGCATTCACTGATCATCGTGTTGCGCCTGAGCATAGAACTCTTTTTGCTCAGCTGCTATTTGTTCCCAGTTGTAGTCGTTAAATTGCAAAATTTCGACTATCAATTGATCAGTTTTGGAAACTTCTTCATTTATGATATTGTGGCTCTCGCACGAAAGCTCATCGCTTCAGCGACATCTCCACGGTTTTTCTCTACTGCCCGTGTGCTACTACCACTCCAGAGGTTTTGCCCTGTTTGTATGAGATAAACCATTTTCACTTTAAATCGGACACTTTCAAACCAAATCGGACCCTTTTCAAATCAAATCGGACACTTTTCGAACCAAATCGGACACTTTTCAAATCGAATCGGACACTTTTCAAATCGAATCGGACACTTTTCAAATCAAGTCGGACACTTTACGAATCAAATCGGACACTTTTCAAATCAAATCGGACACTTTTCAAATCAAATCGGACACTTTTCAAAATAAATCGGACACTTTTCAAAACAAATTGGACACTTTTCAAATAAAATCGGACACTATTAAAACCAAGTCGGACGCACCTCTTACAAAAGGCAGTTGGTAACTAGACCACACTAGGTACTGCTACAAGCCCCGCCCCAACACCCCCGCCCACCTTTCCAGCGCGGCCACGGTTTTCCAAGATGTTTTATGAGTTCTGCTTCTTCGACTTTTTCTCACTTTTGCTAGTTGCACACACACTTCAGCTGAAAAGGATTGGTACCGATGAAGAACTAACTCCGCCCACTCCACAATCAAGTGACGTAAGTTATGAATTTTTATAACCTCGACGTCGGTTTTTTCACATTCAATCTTCACAAAAAGAATATGGCCATGCTTCTACAGAGTAGCGCACTAGGCCCCGCCTCTCTGGCCACACCCACTTTCGTTTTTCGCGGAATATTGATTTTTCTTCCGAAATTTCACTTTTTAAGGCTGTGACAAGCGGCCCCGCTCACTAATGGAAGCTTGACCCGCTTTGTATAGGCCCCGCCCACTTTTCAAAAATGACGCAAACCGGCGAGCTAGTGGCCGTACTAGCAGGCTATGGCCTCTCCCTTCACCCGGAACAAAGTTTTCCTTTTTTGTGGTCTTTCCCTTTTTTTTGATTCTGTGTGACGCGAGAGGCCATAGCCTGCTAGTACGGTCACTAGCTCGCCGATCTGCGTCATTCTGAAAGTGGGCGGGGCTTCCATTAGTGGGCGGGGCAGCTTGTCACGGCCTAAAAAAGTGAAAATTCGGAAGAAAAATCAAAATTCCGCTAAAAGCGAAAGTGGGCGTGGCCAGAGGGGCGGGGCCCCAGTGTGCCAGTGTGTAAAAGCATGGCTATATTCGTTTTGTGAAGATTGAATGTGAAAAAACCGACGTCGAGAACTTATAAACATTCACAACTTACGTCACTCGATTGTGGAGTGGGCGGGATCAGATCTGTATCGGTACCAATCCTTTTTAGTTGAAGTATGTGCGTGCAGCAAGCAAAAGTGAGGAAATGTCGAAGAAGCAGATTCCATAAAACATCTAGGAAAACCGTGACCGCGCTGGAAAGGTGGGCGGGGGTGTTGGGGCGGGGCTTGCAGCAGTACCAAGTGTGGTCTAGTTATCAACTGCCTAATGTAAGAGATGTGTCTGACTTGATTTGAAAAGTGTCCGCTGTGATTTGAAAAGTGTCCGATTTGATTTGAAAAGTGTCCGATTTGATTTGAAAAGTGTCCGATTTGGTTTGAAAAGTGTGTGATTTGAAGTGAAAATGGTATATATAGAGGATCTTACCTGGGCTGCGTCCTAGGTGAGCCTGGACCTGTTCCATGATCATCGTCACCTGAGACTGGAGATTCGTGACGCGAGCATCCTCGTCACTCTCCAGAGCGAGCATTTTTTCGACTTCTTTATCAAGGTTGTCGTCTGTCATTCTGAAATATATATTGTGTGAACGACTCAATGCTCACTCTTTCCGGCGGAAAACGACGGAATAAGCCGAATTGCGCGAAAACACGACTTGAATACGCTATCAGAACAACCTATATTCTGGTGCACTCGGCTAAAAGTAGCTTCGCGGTTCCGCTACCACGATAGCTAGTGCTTATGAGAACAACAGAGGAGCTACGCGATTATCTGTTGCGATTTACGATGTTTCCTTCCCCAGTTCCAGTCGTTGTTCCTTTTGGCAAGCTGACCGTAATCCACTGTTACCTAACCTGCCTATTCGAGCTCTTCCTATAGCTCCGGGAAAGGCTTTTGAGACTGCTATGCAAAAAAAAAGATTTGCGCAGATTTCTGCCTTGTAAAACTGCTTCCCGTCCACTAAAATTGGCAGTGGATAGCTATCCAATCGACTTAGTGGTGCTACCCCACGGTAGCTGTACAGCTCCACCGCGATCAGCGGCACTTGAGCTGTTTGCACTGTTAGGAAGCTGGAGGGAACTCCGCTTCCTTGTGCTGTAGTTAAGGGATTTGTTTTTGTCTAGCGCTTAACGTAGGCGTGCGGCCAAGTTCCTAAAACTCGGCCCTCATGTAGGGTTTGTTGGTTGGCTGGATGTCTGAAGAGTCCCGTGGACGCACGATTTATTACAGTCAAAGCACCGAAATAGGAAGGGTAGCGGGAGGCCGCTAGCCGGCAGCTGACGAAGAGTAGTCGATTGAACCGAATTGCTTGATCCGGCTAAAAGCGGGGCTCATTGATTCCCGCTCAATCGTCTTCAAATTTTGAGGATACAGGCTATGAAGATGACGAAACGAGACCGATCGGCTTTGATCGGTCGGAGCACCATTGATGAGTGTAAAACAACAGGAATAGTATATTATAACAATAACAGTAACAGCATAATGTATCTACATCTCTAATTTGCTAGTGTTCACTGATCTGACTCTTGTTTTTCCGTCTTTCTCTGAGTTTCAATGATCTATCGTTTTTAGCCACCAGAAGCTTAGCGAGTCGGAGGAGTTCCAAGAATTCTTGGGCAAGATTGAAGAAGAAGAGGCATGGATGAACGAGAAACAGCAGATTCTTGGTCAGCTCAGCTCTAAAAAGGATAGGCTTACTTGTAGTCCTTAGTGAGACTTTAATTCTGTAGGCTCGGATAACTATGGCGATAATATGGCCGGTGTGCAAGGTCTTCTAAAGAAGCACGATACTTTCGAAGTGGATCTTCAGCTACACAAACAGCGGGTTGATGATCTGATTCGTCAAGGCAAACAGGTTATTTTCCTCCTCCACTCTTTTATTAGGTTGTCGCATAAGTTCTTATACACGTAGGGTTTGATCGCCTCTGTTTCGTTCGCATGGATGTTAGGTTTACGTCATTAGCTTGCTGACGCGATACATTGACTCTTTCATTATCACTGCTATCATCCCGAGCTTGCATTATGCGTACACAATTCGCACATTCCACTGTGACAGACATGTACCTGCGCACTGCTGGTTTTGCTTAACGATTTCCAAGAAGCTTCGCGTTTCACTCGATGATATGGAGATGGAGTGGGTCCTCTACGACAACCCGTGTGAGGAGCAGAGTGGAGGTCGGGACAAGGGACAACAGCAAGCCACGTCAAAGGCCGACTTCCACCAAATGGTTCCCCTGTTCTGTATAGTGTGTCCAGAAGAGGCATGGAGTTCTGGGGGCTACTGGGAAGGGGACAGCGATTGATGCTTCCACATACGTGCCAGCTGCGGGAAATTGAAGATCACGTCGATGTACTCGACCATGGAGGAATGCGGAATCTACTTCCACCCATGACAAACCCTTCTACTTTCCGACTCACACTGCCAAAGGACACCAGGCCGAGCTGGAGAAGTACGGATGGTGCATGGTCGACCACCCTCCTACGCCTGACCTCGCTCTGGACTATGGACTGGTTCAGCCACTGCAGCGCTCTCTGGACAAGGACAAAAAACAACAAGGATCGGTCAGAAGGCACTCGAGACTTCTTCAAGTCGCAGCCGTTCTTAAGAAGGACAGGATCGAAAGCTGGCCTGAGCGCTGCGCGGCATTAGTGGATTGGTGATGTGCATACCTCTATCTTCAGGTTTGGTTCGCTATTTGCAGATATTTACGAAAGTCGTGTATAGAACTGTATGCGACAAGCCTATTAATAAGACATTTTGGTAAACTCTAGATGATTTTAGCTAATCGATTCTGGAAATCATCATGGTCCTCGCATCAAGGACCGCTGTGATCAGCTTCTTAAGCGCCTGCATGATATCCAAGATATGGCCGCTCGTCGTCTGCAGAAACTTCGTGACAACTCTGCTTACTTGCAGTTTATGTGGAAGTGTGACGTTGTGGAAAGCTGGATTGGTACGTCTCCGCTGTTTTCCGGTCTGTTTTGATTCTGAAGGAGTTATTTGCAGCGGAAAAAGAGCAGCAAGTGCGCTCTGATGACTACGGTCGTGACCTGTCGTCTGTGCAGATTTTGCTCACAAAGCAAGAGGCCTTCGATGCTGGCTTAAATGCATTTGAACATGAAGGAATACAAAGGTGAACCTCTTACCTCTATTGTTCTTAGTCCCAGTTTTGGGTGTTTAAGCACTTGTTATCTTGCAGGATTACGGAACTCAAGGACCAGCTGGTTAGCAGCTCTCATCATCAATCACCAGCCATCCAGAAGCGCCATGCTAATGTCATCACCCGATGGCAACAACTTTTGGCTCATTCGGAGGGACGTCGTCAGAAATTGCTCAAAATGCAAGACCAGTACAAGCAAATCGAGGTCTGAGAGGATCCCTACATTGACTGGACCGTAGTTAGTTGAAACGTTTCTATTCAGGAACTGTATTTGGCTTTTGCCAAGAAAGCATCAACTTTCAACTCATGGTTCGAAAATGCTGAAGAGGACTTAACAGATCCAGTTAGATGCAATTCACTGGAAGAGATTCGTGCCCTTCGTGAGGCACATGCTGAATTCCAGGTATGCTCTCTTTTGCTATTTTTAGCTGGCTGACGAGGTGACGATTGCGGATGTTCTATGGTAATTACCTTGCAGCGATCTTTGAGCTCAGCCGAAGAGGACTTCCGACAACTACAGGCCCTAGATAGACAAATTAAGTCTTTCAATGTCGGACCTAATCCATACACATGGTTCACGATGGATGCTCTCGAGGATACATGGCGTAACCTGCAAAGAATAATCAAGGTAGGCACCTTCACTGCTGTTTTTATCGGGCCAATCCCAAGAAGCAGTACGTTATAGGACCGTGAAGTTGAGCTACAAAAGGAAAATGCCCGTCAGGAGGAGAACGACCGATTGCGTCGAGACTTCGCCAAACTTGCCAATGTCTTCCATAACTGGTTGACGCAAACCCGGCAGGTAAAGGAGGGGGAAATGGGACACGCGCTTTAACGGAGAGTAATTATGGATTCAGGAAATGATGGAAGCGAGCGGGTCCCTTGAAGAACAGCTTGAAGTACTAAAACGAAAAGCTGGTGAAATTCGAGCGAACAAAATTCAGTTACGAAAGATTGAAGAGCAAGGTGCTATGCTGGAGAGGAATTTAATCTTAGATAATAGGTAGGTCATGAGCCATCTGAGCTTACAATTGCTATCCATCTTACTGCGGTTCTACGGTCTTGTTCGTTGCGGATAAAAGTGTCAGTGAAGCTGGGTTTGGCGCGCCGCCAACCAGGGCACGCCATCTTGTGATCATCACAACGGGGGGGGGGTCTATTTGCCCGCGATGGAGGGGGGGGGGTCGCAAACGCATGGCCCATGTTGAAATGGAGAGAGCGGTGATACACGCTACAAGTGAAACAAAGAGCTCAAACAAGCGCACGATGTCGATGACAATAAATAGAAATGGCACTATCGAAACTATTCCTAGGCCAGAACTAAAAATATTGCTGAAACTTTTTCTCCTTCCTCAAAAAAAACTTCAGACCCTTCTCCCACCAGCCTGCTCATTAGTCTAGAATAAATCCCACATCCACTAATCGCAATCTAGAAAAGAATCCTCCTTGCAAGCTACCTATGAAAAACCGTAGAATTCGAATCACTGTAGCAATTTCACACAACAAATCAAACCTCAACAAAACAAACTCGAAACTGCAACAAAAACAAACAATCAAATATTCACAGTTAAATTGGATTTAGAAAAAAACTCCAGGCCAGCTGGGACCGCGAAAACTATGGATTACTTTTGATTTGGCTGTCGCGGTCAGCGTGCACCTCATACCAGCTCATTGGTGCGCGCTATTTTACGGCTGGAGCAATTTCAGCAAAAACACTTGAAACGCACCCCTCATTGAACACCCATTAACTTCTTTGAAGTAACAAAGCTATCGGAGAGCGGGTAGTGGGATGAGTAGCAGCTAGGTCGGCTCTTGTCACCTGAATGAAGCCCGATTTCAAAACGTTACCGATTCCGTTTAGATTTTCCCTCGTTGTGATCATTGTGATCATTTTTGCGAACGCGAGTCGCTACGCTATTGGAGTCCATGCGCGAAGCTTCATCAATGCCTTCGTAAAAAAAAGAATTGTGCCGGAAGCCGCCTTGAAGATATCTGCCTTTCCAGCAAGGCCTTTATTTTTTAGCTATTCGAAAAAATTCCCCGTTGCTGATCATTTTGTGACCACCACCCCCCACGACTGCGAAACAATCAGCCCCTCCTGAGCCATGAAACCTCCAGTTGACGCTTGAAAGACTTTTGGCTATGCTTCGAAAACACATGTTTTCGCAAAGGAGTTGTCAGGAAATAGCGCCATTGCGGCGCCAATTGGCAATACCTCTGCAATGCCGCATGCATGGGGCTTTCACGCAGGGGCTGCTTATGGGAACATGCTTAGATAAGGCCTTACCCAATTGACCAAATGTGGCCTCCTGACAATCAGAAAAGGTCCGGGCACTGTACTTTCGTACTGTCTTATCATCGTCAGTCGTAAGTCCTTTCCTATTGTTTTATAAATTCTATGGTGCTCTTGTGAACGGTGATCGTAGCTCCTATCATCGCCCTTCCTCTTACGTATTGTCAGTATGCTACACCAACGCCAGAGTGCTGGACGTGCTTGGGACGTACGTAGGTACTGCAACCCCCCCCCGCTCGACAGCAAAATTTGTAAAAAAAACAGAAATTTTTTGGGAAAAATAGACAAAGTGGTAGTAGGTTGGAAAAAGGAGATGGAATTTGGGATGGAAGGCGTATTTTTCAGGAAATGATCACAACGCATTGCGTGCCCTGCCGCCAACTCCTTCTCCTTCAGTTGTTTAAGCGGCCAAGCGATAACAGCTTATGGAAAACGGCTGATACGAACGATATCATGCAGTCTTGTCGCTTGCTTGCTTCAATAACTGATGAAAGACGGGCTTGGCGCGGCGCCAAACTCATTCCTCCTGTACACTCCATTATCCGCAGCCTGCAGGTTTGTAAGTAAGAAAGAGTAGATTGCACTGTTGCGCAATTTTTCAAAACTTAGTTTCAAAATCCGTTTCCTAAGGGGAACTTGATATTTGCAACTTCCAGCAGATATGAAATTTTCAATGGAGCTGAGCTACTCCTTCCGCACTTGGAGTCAATGTCGCCTTGCCTTGGGCGAAACACGAAGGAGTAGTCTCGTGCCTGGCCTGCCCCTCTTCGAAGCGCTGTGTTTGCTGCAACTTCTGGCTATCTGCCACAACATGCAATCTAGTTTAGCTTCGGAATGCCTTGTGCTTTGCGCATTGAAAATTTCAAAACTGCTGGCATCTGAATTTGAAAAACCCATAAGTTCGGTGTTATGCAACCCGTGTCCATAAGAACTCTGGTTATTTGACCTAGCCCACTTTTTCAATTATACCTGAAGATCGGTATTTGCCCCTCGATTCATTTGGCATTTATTTGTCTTCCGAAATGCAAATGAAAAGGAAGGCGGTCGAGACAATCGTGACTTGTCGCAGCGTCGCGCACGGCGATAGACCTTTCCGTTCTCTTAATTTTATTAGCCCGTCGATTCGAGCACCGGATTCAGCAGATTACGCCATTGTGGACATATATGGATATTTTTGGTTACAAATCCTTTACTGCGGCCATTTACTGGACTAGAAACATCACCGCTCGCAGGCGCGACATCGCACGCGGCGCCCACCAACGTGGCGGATCACCATTGTCCTGTCACATACCTCAAATAATAATAATGTTGGTTATTAAGGTACACTGAACACTCAACGGTCGGCCTAGCCCAAGCTTGGGACCAACTTGATCAGCTTGCTATGCGAATGCAGCATAATCTGGAACAGCAAATACAAGCCCGTAATCAATCTGGTGTCACGGAAGAGGCGTTGCGCGAGTTCTCGATGATGTTCAAGCACTTCGACAAGGTTAGTGATTTCATCTCATTTTTAACAATATTTCTGAAGAGCTGTCCATGGATTGATTATTCAGGAGAAATCTGGACGTCTGGATCACCAACAATTCAAGAGTTGCTCTAGCGAGCGCTTGGCTACGATCTTCCGATGGTGGATGAGGGCCAGCCTGAGCCAGAATTTCAATCGCATCCTCGATATTGTTGATCCAAATCGTGACGGTTACGTCACATTACAAGAATATATGGGCGTTTATGATCAGCAAAGAAACGGAGAACATCCAGTCATCCGAGGAGATCGAGATGGCGTTCCGTGCCCTTTCCAAGAATTTCCGTCCCTATGTTACTGCCGAGGAGCTTTACGCGTTAAGCAGGAGTTTGTCTGTTGAAGTCAGCGCGGTAAGGCTTTCAAAGAAAGAGTCGCATACAGTTTTATTCGCTGTGGATGCTGAGGCGTGCCAGTTGTTGAAAGCAGCAAGCAACAACAACTGGTGGGAAGCGGGCTGGCATCACGCCAATAGCACCTTGACACGCCCCAGACTGTAGTACCCAGTAGCGCTTCTGTTGTCCGATATACTAGTGCTAGCGAATTTTCTACATATTTTACATTTAGAACCTCACCACGGAACAAGCCGAGTACTGTATCAAGAGGATGAAGCCGTACACGGAAGCGATTTCTGGTCGCTCAATCCAAGGAGGTCTCGATTACGAGCAATTCGGCATGCTCTCTTCCAAAGTTAAAGATAATCGGCTTTTATCGATAAGCTTGTTATCATCGATTATTATAGTGTAATAATGTACAATGTTGTTTGCTGTTGCTTACCGGTCCGCCGCGCATCACTGCTCGGCAGCTTCGCCACGTTATGTGGATGTAAAGGCAGTCTTTACTTCAATTTTCATCATACAGGGTAAGTTATGCGACCTTTTCGAAATATCTATGAGGCAGCGTGAGGTGATGTGCTAGAATCTAATAAATGCTTTTTGTGGGCTTTAGTGTAGACCTTCATATGAGTCGTTATTTATACCTTTCACTTCAAATTCACCACTTTTCAAATCAGATTCACCACTTTTCAAACAAATTCACCACTCTTTTTAGACCGGGCAGTTCACCCCACAGATCATGCCAGACACCACTGCGATATTGCCTCGACGGTCACGCCTACTTGTCAGCGGCGGACATAGATTTTCAGCACATGGCCGACTCCGCCCAGTCTTTAGAGGGTTTGTTGGCGAACTTTTGAAATTTCATAACTTTTTCATCTTTTTGGTTTCACATCCACTCTTTGCACAGCGAAGATACTCGTAACCGCGCATTCATGCTTCGGCAATCCAGGCTCCGCCCCTTTGGCCACCCCCACTTGCTTTTTGCGGAATTTTATTTTTTCAAATTTTTGTATTTTTGGACTGCTCCACTAAGCCCCACCCACTGAAAGAGGCTGCCGCCCACTTTAAAGACCCGCGCCACTTCTCAAAAATGTGCAGATCGGCAGTACACAGTGACGGATGAGGCCCTAGCATGCAAGTCAAGGCTCCATACTGCCGATCTGCACCATTTTTTGAGAAGTGGGCGAAGCCTCTTTCAGTGGGTGGGGCTTCGTGAGCTGTCCAAAATATCAAAAATTTTTGAAAAAATTATCAAAATTCCGCAAAAAGCAAGTGGGCGTGGCCAAGGGGATGGAGCCTGAATTGCCGGAGCATGAATGCGCGGTTACGAGTACCTTCGCTGTGCAAAGAGTGGATGTGAAATCGAAAGCTGAAAAAGTTATGAAATTTCGAAGTTCGCAACAGACCCTTTAAGGACTGGGCGGAGTCGGCCATATGTTGAAAATCTATGTCCGCGCTGACAAGCAGGCGTGACCGACGAGGCAAGGTTTGCACTGGTGTCTGGCGTGATCTGGTGGGTGAATTACCCAGTCTAAAAAGAGTAGTGAATTTGGTTTGAAAAGTGGTGAATTTGCTTTGAAAAATGGTGAATTTAAAGTGAAAATGGTATATATGTGCGAGCACTTCCGTACTAGGTCACGCGACAACTAGAACTTCCCTGTATGGTCCTGTCACGAACTCTGTAGCGCAGAAAGCTACACGACAGCGATTGTCAAAGCATCGGAAGGGGTTAACGTGACATCTTGAATTTTTTGTGCATGGTCCTTTTACGATACCCTGAGACGCAGACGGATAGAGGACAGCAGATGCAAAAGCATCGAAATGTGCAAGAAACATAGGTAAGACTAGAAACGGGCTTTTCCAAGGAGAGGGGACTCCAACCTGGGTGAACCACTTTCATGCGTGGAAAGCTAGACTAATTAAGGTCACAGTGGCCATAGAACTCCATGCAGACAATAGACTGCAGAGATAGAAAAGTTGCACGTTGAAAACAACTACATTCAGTTTTTCGCATACCCTCCATAACGTCGAGACTGCCGAGTATCTCTGAGGTTTCCTACATCTAATTCCAGGAAGGGGAGCTTACTGTGCTGTAATTTCAAAATACGAAGACGTAGTTTAAAGGCAGTTGGGTTGGCACAATAAATCCCACAAGACGAGTAGGATTCATACGCCTGGCACGACAGAATTCTGCGACCCTGAGCAGGCGCTGCATAATGCCTTTTCCAAGGGAGGTGCCCTCAGGGCCCTATCAAGTCAGAACATTACGGCCATACGCCCGCCGCGCCCGCTCGCCATAAATGGACGACGTCCCTGAAGCTGGTATTGATTCATTTGCTGAGCAAGTTATGAAGTGAAGGGATCGCTATGAAGCGGCCGTGATGCTGCATTTCATATATGGGTACACATATGCAGCCGTACCTTCGGTAGCGGTTACTGGCTAGGTGCCTATAGGAAACTCGTCCAGAATTGATTTACAACACACTGAGTACGGAGGCTCTTTCTTCGCGAGATTTTGACCGTTTCACTCCGTTCTTTCGCCATTTCCCCACTATATAGCTCCCTACTAGCATTTTATTCCGAGCACCAAATCATCGTGCCAACTGCGTTTAAGGGCATGGCGATCGGTTTCGGACGGCTCGTGCTTTTGTCACCTGTGACGAAAATTGCTCGATGTACTCTACTTGTCCTATCTTGGGACTTTTTCAAGTAAAGATGCAATCAACGCTTGCCTAGGGAAGGAAAGCGGTAGAAGGGTGCTGATCGCGGTTTCTGGTGTGTAACAAGGAGTCGGTAGAAATAAGTGCGAAAATGCATAAGTGGTAACAGGAATTTCAACATGAGGAACCCATTCGAGCGATATCTAAGGGTAGGTGCAATATTCCTGAGGTAGGAGGAGGGGGCGCTAATTTCTGTGCATTTGGTGTCGATAGACCGAGCAGTACATAATATGAGCGGTACCACGGCACATCATTAGTTGGGGATATTAGTCGAATCCTCACAAACCCCCATCCCCTTTTCTTAAGGGGGTTGGAACGATTCTCCCACTGGTTCCCTTTTCATCGACCTGTCGAAGGGCAGGGGGTATAGTTCGGGGGGGGGGGGGCAAAAAAAGAAACACTTTTCTTCCTTGACTTACAAGGCGCTATAAGTTACACTTTGTTTGACTGGACATTTCCATCACCTTGTTCAACAGCATACTGTTTTCTTGGACGTGGACCAATTGGTTGGAATCCGTTTATTCTATCGCATGGGTGGTTTATATGCGGTGCCAAGAGGCAAAGACATTTAATATGTATGTCAAAAAGAAAGCGAAAGTCTTAATCAGTGAGCTATGTAGACATAATAAAATGAATCATTTCAAATATCCAAAAAAGAAAACATTTTAACAATCTTATGGAAGGCGAATGAATCATCAAACTTCTTGCTATGTTCCTTCTGTAGAATTTTGCAGAATGCAGAAAACTCCCGGAGGAGAATGCTTGCTCTTACATACTCTTTTTGATTTCTGATCGATTTCGTAAGGAGTTAAAGGTTGTAACAATCAAGAAAAGTGCGAGTAGGGTGAAAATAAAATCCAATCCAATCAAAGAGGAAAGGAAATCGGTAGCTATTGAAAAGGATGTCTTCAACAATGAAATCACATTACAAATTGAAATGCTACCAAAATTTGAATTACTTTCGTAATTACTTGTTTCTTCGACGTGAAGACCATCGTTGATATATTCGAGAGTTCCACTGATGACGAAATTCGTCAGACCTCTGGGGCATCGTAACGTGCAGTTTTCTTTCACTGTAGGCGTTTCGAAGTTGAATGTTAGTGTGTTCACATGGCCTGTTCTCGTACATACGGCCACTTGTTGCTGAGAACCGCAACTGATTTCTGTTGTTATTTCGTTAGCGCTTGAGTGGCAGGCCAGTCCCAGTCTTGCTCCGTTGAGACAGTGGTAGCATCCGATGACGTCTGAGGCGACCGCCGTGCATGTAGCGTTTTCCATTAAGGATGTCATTTCCAGTCCTTCGGCGACAAGCTGTAATTGTAGTGCTGTTACAACGTTCATTTTTGCTTCCACTGACTTTCCATTTTGGTATATCATGACGTTTTTCATGACGACTGGTAGCGGTGTTTTCTTGAGAGTTTTTCTGACGTTGCCACTGCTGCATGTGCAGGTTGCTCTATTTACTGCTGCGGAACACGTGCAGACGTTACAGAAGAAAGGAGAAGAGATTAAGCCGAATGGTACTCTTCGAACCTGACGTGATAATGTGCTCGCAGACGACGGGTGTCTGAGGATTTTGAGCCACAGGAAAGCGTGTGAGTCCTTGCTTTGCTTCGTCTAATCCGATATCAGAATGCCTTTTCAATGTCACTTGAAATGATGATGGAGCTGTTCTACATGAAGGAGTAATCCAGTGAGGTCTGAAGTAGTACTGGGCTCGAACAGTAAGTCATTCAAACTTGGACTGTTCTTCGTTTTGGCTGATCCATCGTAGACACAGCGAATTTTTCGTCGGTTGTACTGTTCTCGGAGATGACTGCCGTGGTGAGCCAAATAGTGGCAACTGCTAGGAGGTTTGACTCTCATGAACTTCCTCTATTATTTTCCTTGCGAGTTGATCTGGATGAGCTGGTGATATTGTTCCAGGAGTTCCGGTTTCTGCTGCAGCATTCCTGATGTTTTGGACGAGTCTTGCGTATGCAAGCTGATTATTCGATGAAAGCTTTCCTCTGTCTCCTTTGAAGGGCAGCTGTACAACGTAAGCGTCCTTCGGCGTTGTCGAAAGAAATATTGTTTCGTTGAAATTCTTCAAAACAGATTTCATCATCGAGTCGTGATTTTCGAAGTATTACCTTGAGCCGTCGAGTTCCCAAAGATCGTTGTAGCAAGTATCCAACTTTCTTCTTCCTAAATTATTGAGTTGTACAGAAGTTCGACCGCTTTCGTTGACGCTAAACGTTTAATCCTGTGATTTATGTCCCGATTGGAAGAGTGACCCAGCTGGGTAACGATCTTGCCTAGATCCTTTACGTGGAATTCCTTGTACAATATGATATCAGAAAGTAATGCTGCTCCGAATGAGACGATCCGGGCTTCCTGGATGTGGTAGATGAAGACGTTGAGTCCCTGAATTCTTCTTGAAGCACGACCACTTCATGTCCTTGTTTAGGCAATCAAGAGCTTTGACGGAGAGTATATGGGGTCTTTCAGCGTTTGAACCCGAGTGTGTGATGGTGCGCAGGAAGTGAAGTAGAGGAACTTTCTTTTCGAACAGTGAACAATGTGATATTCTTTCGAATCTTCAGTGGTAGCCTGCAGAGAAGCAGCTGCTTGGTGTAATGTTAGCTCTGCTAGAGACACTGCAAAGGAAGCACATCTGCTTTTCACACTCTTCTGCGTTTTCGGATTG